CCTTTCATGATAAAAACTGTCAACAAATTGGGTATAGATGGAATGTATTTCAACATAATAATGGCCATATATGACAAGCCCACAGCTAACATCATATTCAAAGGTGAAAAGCTGAACACTTTCCCTTTAAGATCAAGAATAAGGCAAGTATGCCCATTCTCACTATTACTCAACATAGTACTGGGAGTGATAGCCAGAGCAATTAGGTAAGAAAAAGAAATAAAAGGCACCCAAATCAGAAAAGAAAAGGTAAAACTATGTCTATTTGCAGATGACATGATCTTATATATATAAAACCCTGAAGACTCCACCAAAAAATTGTTAGAACTAATAAATTAATTCAGTAAGTTGCAGGCTATAAAAGCGATATACAAAAATCAGTTACATTTCTATACATTAACAATGAAGTACTGGAAAGAGAAATGAAGTAAACAATCCCATTTATAATAGTATCCAAAAACAATACTCAGGAAGGAAAAAATTTAACCAATGATATGAAAGATCTATAGAATGAAAGCTATAAAACACTGATGAAAGAAATTGGAGAGGACACAAATAAATGGAAAGGTACTCCATGCTTCTGGATTAGAAGAATTAATATTGTTAAAAGGTACAAATTACTCAAAGCTATCTACAGATTCATGCAATCACTATCAAAATTCCAATGGCATTTTTCATAGAAATAGAAAAAAAAATCCTAAAATTCATAGGGAACCACAAAAGACCCCAAATAGTCAAAGCAATCTTGAGAAATAAGAAACAAAGCTAGAAGCAGACAGCACACTTCTGATTTCAAACTATATTACAAATCTATAGTAATCAAAACAGTATGGTATTGGCATAAAAATAAACATATAGATCAATGCAACAGGAGAGAGCCCAGAAATAAATCCACACATATATAGTCAATTAGTTTTCAACCAAGGAGCCAAGAATATACAATGGGGAAAATACAGTCTCTTCAATAAATGGTGCTGGGAAAACTGGATATCCACATGCAAAAGAATGAAACTGGACCCCTATGTTACACCATACACAAAAATCAACTCACAATGGATTAAAGATGTGAATGTAAGATCTAAAACCTCAAAACTTCTAGAAGAAAACATAGAGGGTAAGCTCCTTGACTCGGTCTTGGCAATAATTTTTTAGAATTTGACACCAAAAGCAAAGGCAACAAAAGCAAAACAAAGTGGGAAAACATCAAACTAAAAAGCTTCTGCACAGCAAAGGAAACCATCATCAAAATGAAAAGTCAATCTACAGAGGAGAAGAAAATATTTGCAAACCACATATTTAATAATGAGTTAATATCCAAAATATACAAGGAACTTATAGGAACTTATATAACTAAATAGCAAAAATATAAAAAAAAACAAATTTCCAAAGAAGACATTTAAATGCCAACAGGTACACGAAAAGGTGCTTAATGTCACTAATTAGCAGGCAAATGCAAATCAAAACCACAATGATATATCACCTTACACCTGTTCAGATGGCTGTTATAAAAAAGACAAGCGGTAACAAATGCTGGCAAGGATGTGGAGACAAAGAAACCTTTATACACTGTTGGTGGGAATGTAAAATGGTACAGGCACCATGGAAAAGAGCATAGAAGTCCCTGAAGAAATTAAAAATAGAACTACTATAAGATCTAGCAATCCCACTTCTGGGTATATATTTAAAGGAAACAAAATCACTATCTGTACTCCCATGTTCCTTGCAGCATTATTCACAGTAGCCAAAGTATGGAAACAACCTTTGTGTTCATGGATTAAAAAAAATGTGATCACATTTTATATATATATATATATATATATATATATATATAAATATATGATGAAATGTTATTCATCCTTATAAAAGAAGGAAATCTGGGTATTTCCTGGCAACAATGTGGATGAATAATCAAGATAAATGAAATAAGCCTGACGAAGACAAATACTGCATGGTATATTGCTCACATGTAAAATTTAAAAAAATTGTTTTTTAATCGAACTCATAGAAACAGAGTAGAATGGTGGCTGCATAGGACCGGGGGTGGTGGTGGAAATAGGGAAAGGCTGGTATAAAGTTACAAACTTTCAGATATAAGATGAATAAGTTCTCAGATTCTAATGTATAACATGGTGACGATAGTTGATAATACTGTATTATAAAATTGAAATTTGCTAAGAGTAGAACTTAAGTGTTCTCACCAAAAAAAAAAAAAAAAGGTAAATATGTGAGGTGATGGATGTGTTAACTCAATGTTGGGAATCCTTTCACAATGTAGACATATATCAAATCATCACAATCTATACTGTAAATAGATTACAGTTTTATTTGTCAACTATACCTCAATAAAGCAGAATAAACAAACAAACAAACAAATAAGCAAGCCTGAACTGTACTCCTTTCTGAAGAGTACAACCTTACTTTTTAGAATAAATTCAATTCTCAATCACATTACAAGGCATACATTTTGCCTCAGTGATGTTTGGAAAGGAAATTCCTAAAAATACTATGGTTACGAATTGGGCACAGAAACAGACATATTATACAGGGTTTCTTCCTACCATTATTTTGGGTATGAATGAAAAAACACACTTAATTCTGTCCTATTTAACTGGTCATTGTGATTGAATCCATTTATAGGTTTATGCTTTTGTTTTTTTTCCAGCTGCTTAGTAAACTTCTTGATACGTCTTGTTGCATTGTTTTTATCTGACCTACTATGTATCTTTCTGGCTCTTCATTTCAGTACTTCTCTGAATGGTACCAACCTTCCTTCTTTTTCCGGTCCGTGGGAAGATAAGGAGTTCAGTGCAGTAGCACTTGCTAACTGCTGCGGACTCTATGCCAATGCCGTGTGTGCCTAAGGCTGGTCCATTTCCATAACAGTCTTGATCTTGACAGCTTTTTTATGATAAATGTATTTATGTATTCAAGAGTTCCCTCTGTACAGCTAACTCACTATGGTCTGTAACAGTAAATGTAAAACTTTCATTTTGGTTCACTGTATGGCAATAATGAAAAGTGGCATTTGTCTTTCTATTACTTGCCGAGCCAAATAGGAAATTCCTTATGGGCTTTGTCTGAACTTATACGTGAAATAACAAATATTATCATATCAAAAAATATCTTGCAAATCTTGCTTCTAGTTGTCATCTTAAAAGTTATGTGATGTGGTCTGCTATAAACGTGATTTGGTGTGTAATGTGTACTGAGGTGAAAAGCTGTATTTCTTGGTGTTTTGTGGATGAGCTGGGTTTATGGTACTAAAAGTACATATCAAATTTACATGAATATTAAGATTTTTTTCTCATAGTCACACATTTGTAAACCTCCAAACTCCTTAACATCATTATAAAGTAAACAAAAAAGTATTTCCTGTATGCAAACTTGTAAGGAACGTCCATTTCTTAAAGGACCTCACTTTGTTTTAGCATTCTGCCTTAGTGCGATATTTGCTTCAAGTTTACAGGGAATACTTTTAAAAACTGGTTTTCAGTGGGAAGGGGGCATTTTGCCTCCCAGGGGGTATCTGCACTGTCTTGAAACCTTATTGGTTGTCACAACTGGGGGTTGCTACTGACATCTACTGAGTAGAGGCCAGAATTGCTGCTAAATGTCCTACAATGCACAGGTTAACCCCCACAATAAAGAATTTTCTGGCCCCAAATGTCAACATTGTAAGGTTGAGACACCCTAATTGCAAATGTTTAATATATTTCTTATATCTAATATTATTTATAATACCAGTGATATATAGCCTTAAAGAAGAGTTTCAATAAGATGTAGGGTTCCTTAAAAAAGTTAAAAATCTAATTACCATGGCCCCACAATTCCATTCCTAGGCATCTACCCCAAAGAACTGAAAACAGGTATTCAGACAAGTACATGTACGTGCATGTTCGCAGCAGCACTATTCAAAATAGCGAAAATATGAACTCAGTCCAAATGTCCATCAGTGGCTGAATAGGTAAAAAAAAATGTGTTATGTATGTATAATGTAATTTTATTCAGCCAAAAAAGCATGAAGTACTGATATATGCTATGTACAAAGAGGAATCTAGACAACATAATGCTAAGTCAAAGAAGCCAGATACAGATTATTATTGTATGATTCTATTTTGTATGCTTCCATTTATTTGGACTATTCAGATGAGATAAATCCATAGAGACAATACAGATCGGTGGTGCCAAGGGCTGGGGGTAGCAGGGAATTGGGAGTGACTTCATGAGTATGTGGTTTACTTTGGGATGATAGAAGTGTTTTGGAACTAGATAGAGGTGGTGGTTGCACAACATTGTGAATGTACTAAATGTCACACCGATTTGTTCACTTTAAAAAGATTAATTTTATGTTCTGTGAATTTCACCTCAATAAATTATATATGTATATATATACATATATATATATATTATATTGTAGATACTCGTATGTTCCCTTAACTATTGTATGTTCCACTTCATAATTATCTGAGCTCAGAACCTCTTGGTCAAAGAATTCCAGTCTCCGTTCTTATCTTCTCTCTCCTATTTTTCAAAGTTGACATAAAAGAAAACGAAGCTTCAAGAAACTGTTTCTTGACATGCACACTGATTTTTGCCCTAGCCTGGTTTCTTTCTGAGAGGCAGCAGGATGCAGTGTTTGGTGGTACTGGACACTAGGCCAGATTACTTGGGTTCTGATTCGGGCTCTGTCACTTATCCCTGGGTAATCTTGGGCAAGTTTCTTAACTTCTCTGTACCTTGGCCTCCTTATCTATAAATTTGGGGATAATGGGACCTATCTTATAGGTAAAGGTTGTGAGGATGACTGCTCATTGTAAGCCCATCGTAAGGGTTAGCTACTATTATTACTATTTAACTTAAGGATCTGAATTCACGACTATCAATTTATTGAATTACGTATGCAATTCAGTTCACACAGAAAGCATGCAGCACGGAGGGAGCTCGTTATCTCCTTTCAGGGGAAAAGGCTGGCTTTCTAATTCTCAGTTTCCTATTTAAAGCAAATCTGGTCTAAACTCCCGCACTTAAGAGGGCTGCGCTGTAAAAGAAGAAAGCATGACAAAGTTCAACAGCATCACCTGCAAAAGAGCCTCACAAGCGGAAGGAGCAAACAGGAAAAGCCGGGACTGAATGCAACATCTGCAAACGTAACGCCGACTCCTGGGGCCAAGAGGCGCTCCCAGGCGAGCACCACGGTGTGGCAAACATGCGTATTCCGCTCTCTGGGAGGCGCCACAGGCGCTTGGCTTTCGCCAACAAGGGCCCCCAGGGTCCCTGGTGTAGGAGCCAAAGGCAGAGAGACGAGAGGAAACTGAGGAAGAGAGTGGTTAAGAGAAAAGCTAGGGAGGACAAAGATGAATGAGAGTTGCGAAAGGGGGCTGCGTTGGAATGTGTGAGGAGTGTGGTCAGGGGACCATGGGATGAGGAGAGTGGCCCTCAGAGTCGCTGAGTGGGTAAAGTCTATTCCCTTAAACACTAACCATAAAGCCTCTCTTGTGCATATTGTTCCATTGCCTGCCGTTTTTGCTTAAGGTGTGTGGACGGTTTTCTAGGGCAGTACATATATTTATCTCATTCGTTTTAGTGGCTGCATGGTGTTCCATGTAAGAAGGTACCTAAGTTATCCGTTTCCCTATTAATGGACGTTTACATTGACTTATATTTGGCCAATATTTTCTAGAAGCCTAACTGAGGTAGGCTGAAGTTTGTGTTTGACTCCCATTTCTGACTCTTCTATAGATGCTTGATTTACTCCTGGTGAAAGTCCTTGGCTAAGCTGTTGGCTGCCAAGCATTTGAAAGGTTATCACCTTTCTGGGAGTAATTGACTTTTCTTTTTTATTTTTTAAATTAAAGTTTATTAGGGTGACAATGGTTAGTAAAGTTACATAGGTTTCAAGTGTACAATTCTGTAATACATCCTCTATCTATCATCACATTGTGTGTTCACCACCCAGAGTCAGTAATTGACTTTTAAGACAGGAATAAAAAGATCTGGAGCCAGAAGCTCTGGGTTCAGAGTCCTGGCCTCCTCTCAAGCCATGTGAACATTCTCAATCTCTCTGCATAACAAAGGTAATGATAACCATATCTATCTTACAAGTTGCTAGAAAATATGAATTAATAATGCATATGAAGAAAACCACATTGTGCAAATGGTAAGGTGCTCCAGAGCTATGCATTTCACAAGCAGTTAAAGTGTAAGGACCTTAGAGAGCCTTTGCTCCTTTATACATGAACATTTGCTTGGCACTTATCACTTCTGGCATTACTTAATGAGATATACATGTTTGTTTTCTTTCCCCCATTTAATCCATACAACAACCCTTTGAGGAAGGTACTATTACTATCCCAGTTTTCTGAATGAGGAAAGATAGGCTTAGAGAGATTAAGTTGCTCCCTTAGAGTCAAGTAGTGACAGAGTTGGGATTTGAGCCCTGACTCGGATCCAAAGGCCTCGCCCTTAACCACTATGTCTATTCTCATACATCCCAGCCCTCGCTGTCTTTCTTGTGCTTGCTCCAGCCCAGTCCCTCAAGGTCCACTGGTTTAACTCAAGGGATCTCATCAACTTCTAACATATTTATACTTTCTGAACTACTTGCGTACCAATCATGTCCCTGCTGTGTGGCATCTTGCATTTTTGTCTCCTTTTGTCTATTGCAGCAAGTAGAAAAATGGTCGCTATAAAATCTGGTGATTTCCCTAAAGATTGAATTGTCTTTATTTAAAAGCTACTTTTACCAGCTCTCTGAATATGGACCTCCATGAGGGAAGAGGCCAAATCTGTTTTGTGATCAAAGCCCAGGAGCTCACACTGCCTAAAAAAAAAAAAAAAAAAAGTGTTTAATATTAGTTGAGGAATTGAAAAGCTCCAAGGGTTAGGGCCTGAATAACTGGGGCAAACTGAAGGGAGAGAAAATGTCTGCTAAATGAAAGAATTTACATAAAGTATAGGGACATGTTAGGGATTCCCTCACATGAGCCCCTGAAACCAAAATTGTAAGGTTGCTGCCTTGAGCAAAACCTCGGCAGTCAACTAAGGGTCAACTGAGAGAGACTGAAAACTGTGCACTCAGTGAAAGTCCTTGAAACTGTTTTGCTCCTCTTGAGCTGAAAAACAACCCTTAGACTAAGCATTTGTCCCATAGCCTTAGGGGCATTGCTATTTCCTACCACCTGTTTCTCTGTTATCTCTAATAAAAGACTGAAGTCAGCGAGGATGCGGGGTCAGACTTTGCTGTCTGTCCTCCTCCCCGTTCTCTGCATTGCATTTCTGTCTCATCCTTGGTGTCTCCGGTCGCACGTGCGACAAATGGTGTCCCGTGTGAGGAGCTTTCAGGACGCCAGGAGGCGGCTCCCCTAAGCCCAAGAAGGGATTTTGGATGTCAGCATCACCCGGTAAGGCAGTGGTTCTCAACCTTCCTAATGCCGTGACCCCTTAATACAGTTCCTCATGTTGTGGTGACCCCCAACCATAAAATTATTTTCGTTGCTACTCTATAACTGTAGTTTTGCTACTGTTATGAATAGTAATGTAAATATCTTTTTGTTTTCCGATGGTCTTAGGTGACCTCTGTGAAAGGGTCGTTTGACCCCCAAAGGGGTCACGACCCACAGGTTGAGAACTGCTGCTAAGGGGACAAAGGGCAGTTGTGGTTTCCCCATCATGCTCGAGGTGGAGCCAAACATCTTGCTTTCACTTTTGGGAGGAACGGCTTTCTTTCTTTCTCTATGGGGGTAGACCTCTCTAAGGAACAAAAAGATCATCTTTTACAATTGCGAGGCCTCTTACAGGCCACAGGATGCAAAGTACCCCGTAAGTCTCAACTCTCTGACTTTCTTCAGGTGGTAGACAAACAATGCCCTTGGTATCGAAAATCTGGTTCCCTTAAGCTAGATGATTGGGAACGCATGGCACATTGGCTTCGCCAGTCAATGGGCCCAGATACTATACAACATTTAACAATCTGGAATTTATGTCGCCTAGCTATACGTCCTATCCAGGGTGCCCCCTCACCATTTAAAAAGAAAAATTTTAACCCAAACGTCTCCTTCACTGCCTACTTCTGTCCCTAAGCCCTGCTATCCTCTCAGCCTTAACCTTCTCCCCCAAACTCCAGCTCCTCATTTCAGGAGGATTTGGTTCTGTAAATACTCTGGTTTATGTAACTTATTTGTTTTATTTACCTCTAGTCTGTCTTTTCTCTTTTTCTTTCCTTTTCCAGTTGTGTCTTAGGCACCAAGCTGATTGGGAGCTCTGCATCTATACCTTCTATAAGCCCCCTAAGTCATATATTTAAAATTGTTTTATACACCACTCTATATTCAGGAACTTGACAAAAATAAGTCTTAAAAGGTTTTTTTTTAACTGTCAGTAACTTTCAAGGTCTTATAGATAACTTCAAATGTAAACAGAAAGCTGCTACAGCCTCCACTTGAGGCTGAGGTAACTGAAGAGAAAAAACATACACTTTTAAACTCAGGCGGCAAGCCCCACCCACTCATTACAGCCTCCTGAAGTTTTAAAGAAAACTATAAGATCTTAGGTCCTCTCTACAATTGTTGGTAGTTCTGTTTATATAAATATAGTCTCTAAGGTCTATATTTGTCATGTTTTATATATATTATAATATTTTTGCTTCAGATATTATTATCAGTTATAATATTTGATTGGCTAAAATTAAGAGATTAAGTACTTACATTAATTAAGATAATAAAAACTAACTCAACTACTTCTCAGGATCATGTGATCTAAAAAATATTTAATACTAAGGCTAGTTTTTTGGTTTTACTAAGTTATATTAATAAATAAAAGTTATTAACTATTTTAATAGATAATTCAAAATAACAAAATACTAAAATATCAATTATTGAATAGGTCTGAGTTTATCTATTTCTGGCTTCTTATCACAAAAACACTAAAAGATAAATTAAGATCTATTAATAAGTATATCATATATTACATTACAAAAGCCTATGCTTTTGAAGGTTACAAAATATATTCCTTGATTTACCAATAAAAGTACTAATTACTTGCTTTTGGTAATCAATAAAAATTAAGGTTATAAAGGTTATAGGTTCTAATTAATATAAAATAATAATATGTGTTTTCAAGAAAGGCATAAGGTATAGAAATGCATTTTTAAAAAAACTATAAAAAATAGTTTGTCCTAAAAATAGTTATTTCTAAATGAATAAAAAGAGATAACCTAAGAGGGACTAAAAAGCCATTAAAGGTTTATAAAAAGTCTTGAGAGTATGTAACAAGTTGTAAAAGGCTTGGGGGAAATGAACTTTATTTGCCTTGGTTTACAATACCTACAAATAATGGGCTTGATAAAAAACAATAAGGTATGTTAAAAATTTGACAATATTACATCAATTTTGGTGAATTTATTCATAATAGGAAAATAGGCTGATAAATCTTTTACTGTAAAGTGTTTCTGTTCAGATAAAATTACAGTCTCTAAGGGGGGAGGAATAAAAGCCTTGTGTCATGGCGGATTTATAATGGTGATCAATTCAAGTAAATGCTGACTGTTATATAAAGTATATTTGGCCAATAAAATAAAAATTAAAAAGACTGTAAATAAATCAATCCAAATAATTTCTTTGTATAAATAAATTCTCTTTTTAGCCATTCTTTCCTGTATCACCTGCAGCTCCAAGGTAAGTCGATCCCTCCTCCTCCTCTCATGGTGTTGTTCAACCCCACCTCTTGTAATTACACATATTGGGTTCACATTCTAGCTCTTCCAGCCTTTTCTCTTGTCACTTGGGCTGATCCAGAACCCCCTCTCTCTTCTAACGATACAGCCTGGACAGGCAGAAATTGGCTACCTACAGGAAAGGCCCCTTCCGAGGCCACTTGCCTTGAAACTAATTGGATCTTTTATTCCTTAGATCTCCCATCACAATATTACACAACATAACATCATTTCTCTTCATCCTCTGCCAAAGGGCCCAAATGTAGCCCCCCATCAACCTCACCAGATCATGGCAGGGCTCTACTGCTCTAGAGAAATTAATTTCAGCCCTTGAGCATATTGGACACAAACGATTTACTGGGATGCTCACAGCGACCATCATTTCAGCAACAGCCTTAGCTGTAAATGTGGCCACAGCGGCTGTCACCTTATCCAAATCTATTCAGATCGCTGCTCGAATGAATTCTTACTTACAGAACATTACAACTGAACTCCAATCTCAAACAGTTATTGATCAAAAAATATTACAATGCCTCAATACCCTTAAGGCGACTGTTACCTTTATGGGAGAACGCAAAGAGGCCCTCTGGACTCGCCAGCAACTAACCTGCGACGCTGGCTTTCACACCATGTGTGTGACTCCCATTCCTCTCAGTAACAATCAATCATGGGACGAGGTCCAAAAACACCGTGCTGGCATCTTTAAGAATCCTTTACAACATGATATCTCTGACCTGCAGTCTCGACGACAAAGTCAATTAAAAAAACTACAACAAAAAAACAAAAAGTGCTACCATTGATGATCTTTACTTGGCCCTCAATTGGCTTAATCCTTCAAGTTGGTTTCACAGAATAGGCCTACGCCTATGGACAATACTTAGGGGACTTCTCATTCTTCTTTGTGTTTTCATAGGACTCTGCCTCATCGTCGAGATAATGCAAAGGCTCTTCACCACAGAAACATTTCTCATCGCACTGCAACAGCCCCCACACCTGGATAATACTCTACCCCTACCTAACTTTACACCCCCCTTTGATATACCCTATAATAAAAAACAGTCCTCCCTGTCGGAGCTTTATCTCCCTCTCTAAAAAGAAAGGGGGGAGACGTAGGGACTTGTTAGGGATTCCCTCACATGAGCCCCCAAAACCAAGATTGTAAGGTTACTGCCTTGAGCAAAAGGCCAGTGTCAACTGAGCCTCCAAATCCAAGATTGTCAGGTTGCTGCCTTGAGCAAAACCTTGGCGGTCAACTAAGGGTCAACTGAGAGAGGCTGGATGCTTGCCACACTGAAAACAGTGAGCGCTTAGCCAAAGTCCTTGAAACTTTTTGCTCCTCTTGAGCTGAAAAACAACCCTTAGACTAAGCATTTCTCCCTTAGCCTTAGAGGCGTGCTTGTTATTTCCTACCACCTGTTTCTCTGTTATCTCTAATAAAAGACTGAAGTCAGCGAGGATGCAGGGTCAGACTGCGCTGTCTGTCCTCCTCCCCATTCTCTGCATTGCATTTCTGTCTCATCCTTGGCATCTCTGGTCATAAGTGCAATAATAAAGCACTTATACTACCTGGTACGAAGTAAGCTTTTAATCAGCATTAGTTATTGCTACATAAATATAATAGAAATGGGGTGGGGCTTATGAGTAGGAGGTACAAAATGGGGAGGTGAAAGAAAGAAGAAATGGAGCTGGGCTAGAGCTGTTTGTACAGAGATGGCGAGCGAGGACTTCTCAAAGGCAGAAATGGGCAAAGGGCATTTAAGAACAGGGATACCTAATATTTATCCTGCTGTAACCCCACCAGCTTTGACTTCAAATCTTCAGCAAAAGCCTGTTCTATATATGGTCTGGTGCCGTGGTATTTTGAAGAATTAAAAAATCCAGGCGGTGTCCAGTATAGATGGTATGATGTCAGTAGTCCAGTCAGCAGACAGAGCAGTCAGCCGAAGGAATAAAACAGAGCCATAGATTATACGGAGAGAGGTAAGGTGTCCAAGAAACCACAGAAACATTTGGGAACAGTGGTGTTTTTTCTTATTTATATAGGATTGGGGTTCAAGACTATTTCCAGTAAACCTTTCTTTTTTCTTGATTACAAAGAAATGTTACATGTTTATTTTCATGCCTTCCAACAT